TACAAAATTTTGATCTTGTTATTTTGATATCGATGACCTAAGGTCAGGTCAATTTTGCGACCTCCCTATTAGGTATAAGTCAATGGGAGAAAATTGAAAGTCGCCTTTTTAGACGGAAGTCATTATCAACACTCTAAAACACTGAATTACTAGTGTATTTGATACACTGATGACTGAACTTGAAAATGGCACCCGTGACCCCTGTTTATGCCCCTGAGGTCATCTCAGGTCACTAATGACATATGACTGTTTTTCGCGAATAACTTTTGATAGAGGCATGCTAGAGCGATGAAAACACCTTAGTTGTGTTTGGCTCGACGATATGGATCGACTGGTATGCAACTTGACCCTTACGGGTCAGGTCATGACCTTGACCTGAGGTAAAATTTTCAAGTTGACCTTTCAAGGTCAAGTGATAGTTCATTCGACGCTTCTTGACGAGAGGAACACGATGCTGGTAAAAGAAAGTTCGTGCAAGGTTTGAGCCCAACGTTATTGCAAAAAAAACGGGTTCCGAAAAAATCGGTTATTTGGGCAGTTTTTGCCCCCTGCAGGCAAAACCGTTGACGGTAGGTCAAATCTGATAAACCATTAAGAAAGAACGTTAATAGGGATATCAAATGCGTTTTTCCGCGGCGCTGTAGCTTTATTAGTTTATTAGTTAGTTCCGAGCTGTGCGTCGATTTGTTGAAAAATTGTCGACATATGACCTACAAATTGGTGAATTTTGACCTTCAATAACCTCTGGTGACCTGACCTTTGACCTGACCAAAAAAGTGACTGAAGTGAGTTCTTCCTTATTTTTGACGCTCTTTCGAATGCCGCCTTTCCTGTATCGCTACGTGGCCCAGGAGCCGAGTTAGAAGGGGGTGTTCAAACATCCCCCAGCAGGGCGTGGAAATCCAGGACCCCCAGCGGGGCGCGGGTTAAAATTTGATGCATGATTATCGACATTTCTGAAGTCTCCTCCACAGGTTCACCTGACAACACCGATCACGTTTTGCAGCGTACAGACAACCCGATCGGGTTCCTCGTGCCATGAGTGACGTAACCTCGACCGATTCGAACATGAACTTTGGTCCGACACGGATTTTGAGCGCAGGCCTCAGAGTATGTGTCAGGGGGAGGGATGTCTCCTGTAACGGATGACGCGAGGCCAACTCATACCACCGTGGCTGCAGTGGGCGGTGAAAGGCGACCTTTCCGTGTCAGTGACCTGTCAGAAGTTCCCGAAATCTGAATGTTATTGTGCACCGGCTCACCAAGTGTTTCTGGTTTCATTTTCATGGACACGTGGCTTGCAAGATAAAATTAGTGATAATCGATCGCACTTTTATTGACTAATGACTACCACACTTGGCAAAGTTGTCTACCACTGAGGGTGATGGCTGTCCTTGTATGAACTCACCAAGATTGTTTGTTCTTATCCTTTTCGTTGTTGTTTGTGTACCTACACTGTTCAGCCTTTACAATAAAATGTATCATGATCGGCTTTACAACGACTGGAGCAGGCTTGTCATGCTGGTTGCCGGTAGTGGCATATCGGAGAAAGGATAATACGAGAACACAACAGCAACTTTTACGACGAAAGCACTCATGACAAGGCGTTCTACTTCAACATTGATAACATAACCACAGTTCCACAAATATCGATTCAATGCTCTCTGATTTTTGCTAGCAATGTCCTGACTTTTATTTGATCGGTCTGCTAAGCCCTTTCCATCTTAAAAAAATGCCGATACAGGACAGTTTTCGACGAACCAAAAGGGAAAAGAGGCTTTGGACATAAGGCACTGCACCGTACTAAGGCATTGCACGAGATGCGCCACTTTAGTTACGAGGGGAAATCACGCATTGACCACCAGTCATGCTAACGGTCGTGCAAGGAGAGTCTAAGGGTAATGACAATTTATTCTAATCACGCTCGGCCACTTATACATGGTCACCACTGAAAAGCCTTGCACAGAGTACCTATGAGGGATAATATTTCACAAGTAGGCAGCGGAAAAAATTTAATGAATAAACCACGCGAGCTGTTGACAGCCCAACAAATTCCTTCCCCGAATCCCCTCATCTGATCATTTACGGATACACTAGAGAGACACTTGTACGATCACTGGTTGGCCTCCACGGCTAGTTCGCAGTAGGTACGGAAGGCGTCACATTTCTCCTCTAGGCTGCGCACGACTGGACTGCGATGAGACTGTGTGACCCGACTGATAATAAGTCGCCTGAGGCGCTGAGTACTGCGTTGTGCAGTTCAGACGAATTGTTGTCGCGTAGATTGCCTGTTCCTTGCGGTGTCAAGGCGAGCCCACAGTAGGTGAACAGGTTCTCAACTTCTGAAGTGTGTGTGTGAGAGATGTAATTTTGGCATGACAATGTCCAAACGGTCCATATTCAGCCGAAATCAGCCCAGATTTAGCCAAGAGTTAGCCTCGATTCAGTCAACACTCTTGACGTATCGGATCGAATTGAAACTCGCACACGACAGAACCCTTGGGGTACAGAATACTTGCCCTAAACCATTCGGCGGCACTTGCTGCTGCTCAACAAAGGTCATGAGTCAACAAAGGTCACAGTCCCCAAAGTTGCGCAGCACATTGTGACTCACCGAGTCGAATTGCAGCGCTGAAAATGGCGCCGAACGACTCGCCGTATTTTGAATTCAATACGGCAGGCTAACTTATGTTTCCGACTTATATTCACTCAAAACTTACATTCACAGCTTATATTTTCTGATAGGCTAAGGTATTCATAGCCGATGGTCAATGTGCACCTTGTAATGTTAAATTATAGTTCACCAGAGAATCACCATGTTGATTAAAGCACAAACGTAGTGACAAAAGCAAAAGTGTAAACTGGAAAATAAAAATGAAATTAGGTGGAGTTCACATCTGCAGAGGATCCGGCTCTAAATTCAGATGTGCAATTTCATGGTACACCTGATATCCGGGTTTTGATATGCTGCATTGACACCCGCCAACCGCAAGTGTTACACAGATCAGAATCTAATCTACTCTCATATGACGCTATTAACAGTGCAATATCAGTCAATCCCGACTTTGACATGCAAGATGTCATTGCGGAGATTGCCACTAGTCATGCAAATGTTTAATGGAAAGAAAGAGAGGGAGGGAGGGAGGGGGAGAGAGAGAGAGAGAGGGGGAAAGAGAGAGATAGAGAGGGAGAAATACCGAGTTTATGATAAGAGATGCTTCCCATAAACTGGATAATCTGGATAGCTGGGTACTAATGCCTACCACATTAAACCGACTTCCAGGGTAGTTGGTCTAACCCTGTCCTCAACCACGACCTCTAAAATTTTGCTTGACAGGACTCACTGCTAATCAGAAGGGTTTCGTAGTGAGCGTTTGTTTACCGCCTCGTACATCGTACAGTGGCTGCTGGTTCAGAAGCCATGATGGGCTGGAGGGAGGGCGCTTAACGCCTATCCACCCACCAGCAGGTAATGGTTGGCTAAGTGTCCCATTTGGATAGCACGTGACTGGGCCTTCAGCCAAACGCCATTGGCTGAGGAGGATTGTTAACCCGTGCCCCGCTGGGCTATTCAGCAATACGCGCACTGCTGGGGGGGGGGGGGGGGGGGGGAGTGCAAATTCTGCCCCAGCCCCAGTCTAACTTCCGAACCGATGGTCGTAGAAAGACGGGAAAAACAGCGATCGAAAGCTCTCAGCAAGGCGGATCTTAAGAGCCTTTTTTGCTTAAGTGGGTCAGAGGTCAGGTCAAGGTCAGGTCAAGGGTACAAAATGCAAGTTTCTAAAGTATCGGCCTTGCACCGTAGTTGCCGAAGAATGGACTGAGACTGATTGCCCAAAACATGTTCTTAGGCTACCAAGACAATATTCGTTGCATACAATATCATGCAAAGGTCAAGGTGAAGGTCAGATCAGGTCACCAAAAACGAAATATAGAAAAGGGCATGTGCGACACATGTTTTATGGGTCATTTTATTCATAGAATTCAAGAGGCACACTCAATAAGTGATATGGACCACATCTGGATGAATTTCAGGTCGAGGTCAGGTCTAGGTCAGGTCAGGTGAGGTCAAATTTTGAAGCTGGTTGTCAAGACCTAAATAGGTGTCTATTTGATGCAGTTTTCTACGGTGATTCGAATGGTGCTATTTTTGTTTCCGTACGAGGTCAAGAACTTCCAAAAAATTCATTTTTTTTCAAAAATTTGTTTGTCGTGACGTCGTAAAACTTTGAATAACTCACACATTTTTGAACCAATTCTTCTAAAAATTGGTATGTAGGTGCACATAGACCACTTCTCTAATATTTATTCCGTTTTTTTGATACATTCAAAATTTTGGATTTGATAATGATTTTCCAAAAAAAAATCAGTTTTTGAGAAAAATTGGGCCAAAGCCCAAAATTTACAAAAAAAAACGAGATAGCCATTTGATAGACAAAGTAGATTCACGTATAACCTTTTTTGTTACGTCTTGATTCCTTTGAAAATAAATAAATTGGTTTCGCCTTCCTCATATCTGCAGTTAACCATAAAATAGCTCAATAGTAATTACATACTTAATCAATAATCATATTCCCGCAGAAACAACAATTTTAGGTGTCCTTCAAGAGTGTATGATTGTTATGTGAATCGATTTGCAATCAGATAACTATCCTTGAGCTGAGCATGCAAAAAAGAAGTTTCGCTGAGTGGTACACTACACACGGTTAAATAGAAATTAAATTATGCAGTCATTTTTCCAGTGCTGTTTAACAAATTGTTTTATTTTCATCGTAACAGCTCTGAAGGCTCTCCCTGTAATGCGGTTACATAGAAGTCATTGAATTTCACAGCACGTATTGACGGTGGGGAAAACCCAAGGTCACAGGATTCCCTCGCCAACATCGCTTAGCAGCATGGCAGGTGGTGACGCATTTACTCCTCGATTCCTATTGGTCAACGAAAGTGTTGCGACTCTGCCCGCCAATATAAGGCACCGTCAGGGCCCCGAAACCGGTAGTATCGGAAGTGTAAAGGTGCAACTACAAATATGAAGGTAGTTTGCTTACTGGCGCAGTTGTGCGCAACTGTCTACGGGGTGGCAGGTAGGTTTGGGTAAAAGTATTCTCAAATCTTCATGGCACTACTTTATGGCCTGTTTTCTTTTGAGTTTTTTTTTCAAGACTTGAGGTCAGGTGATGCTTCAAAACGTTGCAATACGTTTATAGGGAATATTTGATATTCTAGTCCTGCCTGCTTCATATTATAAGAATATTCGAGTCCTGCCTGCTTTATATGTGGCCCTGGTGGCGCAGTCGGTTAACCCGCGCCCTGCTGGGGGGGGGGGTGTTTGAACACCCCCCTTGTGGTTTTTCGCGAATATCTCAAAAACGGCGGCGCGGAGCGCCGCCGTTTTTGGTACACCTTATCATACATCAATTCTACACATGTTGTGAAAATTTCAGACCAAGGTCATTCAAGGTCAGGTCACCAGGTCACTCGAAGTGACCTCACCTCATAAAAAGTTTCAATGTCTGTCATAGCTACACCGAGTGACCGATCGCTTTGAAACTTTCAGCGATTGCTAAGAGCAATAGCATGTACAAAATGTATATCTCAGAATTTTGATATCGATGACCTAAGGTCAGGTCAATTTTGCGACCTCACCATTATAAGTCAATGGGAGAAAATTGAAATGCGCCTCTTTTGGACGAAAGACATTATAAACACTCCCAAACACTGAATTACAAGTGGTTTAGACACACTGAACATGAAAATGGTGTCTGTGACCCCTGTTTATGCCCTGAGGTCATCTTAGGTCACGAATGGTATCTAACAGTTTTTCGCAAATAACCTTTGATAGAGGCATGCTAGAGCGATGAAAACGCCTTAGATGTGTTCAGCTCGACGATACGGATCGACTGATATGCAACATGACCCTTTCCGGTCAGGTCATGACCTTGACTTGAGGTCAAATTTTCAAGTTGACCTTTCAAGGTCAAGTTATAGTTCATTCGATGCGTCTTGACGAGAGGAACACGATGCCGGTAAAAGTAAGCTCGTACAATGCTTGGGTCAAAAGTTATTGCAGAAAAACTGTTTCCGAAAAAATCGGCTATTTTTGCAGTTTTTGCCCCCTGCAGGCAAAACCGTTGACGTTAGGTCAAATCTGAGAAAATTACTCAGAAAGGGCGCTAATAGGGCTATCGAATGCGCTTTTCCGCGGCGCTGTAGCTCTATTGGTTCCCGAGGTATGCGTTGGCTTCTTGGAAATTTTCGACATTCGACCTGGAAATCGGCGAAATTTTGCCTTCAATGACCTCTGGTGACCTGACCTTTGACCTGACCAAAAAATTGACCGAAGTGATTTCCTCATTATTTTTGACGCTCTTTCGAACGCCGCCTTCCGCGTATCGCTACGTGGCCCAGGAGCCGAGTTAGAAGGGGGGGTGTTCAAACACCCCCCCCAGCAGGGCGTGGAAATCCAGGACCCCCAGCCGGGCGCGGGTTAAGGCGTCGACCCGCGGTGCGGGCGGTGCCTGGTTGGGGTTCGATTCCCGGTTCCGCCCGTTCCGCGGCGTCGTCCCCGGCTGTGTCACCTGGTGTGGGGTAGGCTCCCACTTCAGCCGTAGCCTGGGGGGTGGGGGAACAAGGGCCAGGAGGAGGAGGAGCCCTCCTGTAAAAGGAACACAAGTGCCCGTTGTTGGAGGGAGGCCTGAAAAAAAAATATTATAAGAATATATATTATAAGATTATGCATCTCGAAGGACGGGTGAAATCGTAATTGTTTGTCCCTTTAGGTAACGGGTGAGCACTAAAATTTTGCACAACATTCATTTGTTTATAAATCACATTATATTCAGCAGATTAGCGTACAACTTTCATAGACTGGAGATCTGTACCTCCGCTTTCACATGCTGCTTAGTGGACGCAGGTATTGGCTCCTGCACGTGCAGCGTGTTGCACGCGCTGTGGTACCCCCTTCATCATCTTGTGCACTAATTCTTGGTCCGTGTAGCTGATACCCTTCTAGATTTTCCTAATGAGCTGGGTGTCATTCGTCGCTTTCCAGCCTCCTGCGTATGTTTTGGCCTTAATCATAGACCACTGACGCTCCACATGGGTCTCAGATGTATGCACTCAGTGGGCAGCATGGCTGGCTGTCACCCTTCGGCACCGACGGTATGCTCTCATGGAGCACCTCTTGCGTCTCACGAGCGTAATGGCACGATGCCAGTTCCGGCCAGAACATAATTTCGTCTCCACTATGTTTTTCTTCGATGAAGAGGACAAACATCTTGGTCACGCACTGTTTTCGGTAGATTTGACCACCCAGGGCACCTCCGCTTTGACAGAAGAAGGGCTAAAATACACCTCTTTCGCTGACGGCAAGCCACACAATTATTTTCTACGGAAACTTGTTTTTTTAGTTGAACCGAACATGCTCAGGATCTTCCTGAAGAGGACCCGATGTAAAAAATCCCTGGTTTTCCGGCCACGGAGTGCCTTACGTTAAACGGTTTACCGAGCTCACGATTTTTTCGTTAAGTTTCGCCAACCCTTTTAACAACGCGTCTTTCTTCTTTGGCTCCGTGTTCACGATTGGCAGGGCAAAACAGCTTATATTGCATATAAACAGAAAGTATTTTTCCCAACCTTTCACCTGGTAGTTGTTGTTTTCACGGACATTAGGCAATTAATGTTCTATAGACATACAAAGTTTGTGCAAAATTTTAGTGCTCACCCGTTATATTTGAACATCCTGACAATGTTATATGAAAATACCGGACTAAGTTGTCACACATTGAGCTTTCAATCATCTAAATGTGAATGCGAATATTATTTTAGAATGTGACCGATGTGGATCTTTGACTTTCTTTCAGGCGCTGCCTCTGATCCGTGCCCGCTGGGAGGTAACTACTGCCCCGATAGCAAGATATGTCAGGGAAACACGTGTGTCTGGCCTCAGGGCACTGTCGGTAAGCTCAATCACTGCATTTGTCATCTACATTCAATTAGGTTACAGTAAATTTATATTATAGTAAATCTCAACACGAGTGGCACTGAGCTACTATGCAACTAGCAATCCGAGAGCAACTGAGCAACACTGAGCAACTATGAATCCGAGATCTTAAAACGGAAACTTTAACAAGGCTTCCTTTACGAATCAAAAAGGAACCTTATAAAGGCTCCTTTTGTAATTTGTAAAGAAACTATTTTTAGGCTGTATAAAGTACAGTATACCCGTCTCAATTGAAGCCACTAAATATAACTTAACCGGCTTAGGTGTGTTTCAACGTGTGTTTTTAATATTTTCTTTACATAAAATAGGTACATATTTTTACTCACCTCGTTTTTGTAGGCATGTGTGACTTCCTGTTCACATAGGTCTATGATGTATGTATGGGATGTATTACCGTTATGGACAATCCACACATGGTGTGGCGATTACTGCCCATGGCTCCCGAGGCTGATGTTAATGTTTTGCAGAGTACCAGTGCACGACGCTGGGGCAGACGTGCGCCTCGGGCCGTGCCTGCATCCCCTGCTACCTGCGGGATTCTGAGCTCTGCTGCCGCCGAGCCGACCTCCTCGGTAAGACACTGGACTGTTTTTCGCCGTATTCTTTAAATAAAACTTGTTAACTTAAGCTGGTTATGTTATTGATGACTCACCTTTTTTGCCGTTGACATTTGTGGATTGAAAACTACAGGTTATTTGGGTAAAGACTGGGGCACAAGTGCCTTCACTATGCCTACATGTATCATGGGGCAATAAAATACATACATATACCAAACTCTTGATATTCTCTTCAGGTTCTGACCCATACTGCGGGGAGCGGTACCAGGAAAACCACAGATGGAAGACCGGCACTTACTGTCCAGACGGAAAAGTTTGTCAGAAAATAAAGGGTGTTTTCAAGTGTCAGTTCACTACGCCACGTAAGTACCTCTCAAATTTGTTATTGCTATTGCTTGGCAATACCTATCTCGGCTCATTCGCTTCTCATAAGCGAAAAGTGCTCTTTTTTTCTATTGTAATCATATGCTATGCATTTATCAACTTAGTTACAGTTATGCTTTCACTCGTATCATAAACATTTCAGCTCTAGTAACCTTCTTAAAAGCTTCAGCTATGCATGAGTTCTGAGCACGAATGCAGCATGCATTTGTACGTCCGATTAGCACATTCGACGTTTCAACGTTTTTCCATTTACGCTTTCATAAGCCGAACAACTAAATCCTACCTTTAAGACATACCTATGCATGTGTATAATTTTAAAATCACATTTCTTTTTCTCCAGAGCCCAGTTGCGACACATTCGGTGACATCTGTGGCCTCGACAGCGACCGAAACTGTGTGCAGTGTTACTTCCTACCGGGACTCTGCTGCCGCCGGCGCTCCAAACTCGGTTAGTTGGTTGTCCTATGGCTTTGTTACTATTGCAACCTGTGTCGGCTGCGTGAGGAAGGCCAGTGGGGTCATTATGAGGGGACAGAACTTCCGTAGGGAAATGCACTTGGATATGTAGTGTGATTGCAATGCAGAACGCAGTGTAGCTGTTGCCTGTGGTGTTTTAGGGATGAATAATGAATTATCGTTACATATGTGAACGGTTGCCCGACTGACACGCATCGCTAGGTAGTTATACAAGCATAAAAGTTTACGAGGTATTAAATAAACGTGAAACGGTATGTTTTAGAAATGAATGTGGCAACCCAGCACCAGGCAGATTAATGCGCCATTCCGGCGGCTCCACACTGACGTCATCATCGGTACCACCTCCGACGTCATCTGTACCCCTTCTGACGTCATCTGCTGTGTTCCACAGGGACCATTGCTAGCGAGTGCCAGTACGGGGGCACCAACTGTCCGGGAGCGCAAACATGTCAGCAGACCACCGGTCCCGACGGCTCCGTCACCAGGACTTGTGTTTAAACGGGCGATATGTATAACAAACATGTTTAAACGCATGCTTGGTATAACGACCCAGCAGCACCTATAGCACGGGTTGGAAGACACCAGTGACGCTGCTACTTTTGTGTGCTTCGTGTGTATTTATGTTGCTTATTTCTGTTTTTATGTTACCTTGCAAACATTGATTTACGTTGCGATTTTTGTGATATATCGGTATCATCAAATGCATACATATTTTATTGGGCATTTTCAGCATTTCTAACGACCAAGTGGTTTGGAGAACAGATTTCCACGATATCACGAGCCTGGTAGTAGGGTGGCAGACGAAGACAGTTTGACATTGCTTTATTTTAAGAGCGATGCAAATGGTAATAATGCTGATAGATCTACTGAGAGGATGGGGATTTTACGTAAAAATCTAGAATTTTTTCACATCCGTAAATTTTCATTTTTTCTTTTTATGCTGCGACACTGGAGAGGGTCAGGCTCTCGAAACTCTCTTGCGTTACGAATAGCACGCAAGCAAAGCTTAAAATAACCCAGAAGGCCAAACATGAGGCGTCGCGTATCTCCCCCATGCCTTAAGTATTACGAACTGGCCCGGTTGACGAATCCACAATGGTAGAACAACGAGAATCATTCCAGCATGTACGCTCCGTTACCTTGCCTTTCTCATAGGTCACTGAACCCTTCTCTCCTATCATCCTCCACCAATCTCTCTCTCTCCCTCTCTCTCTCTCTCTCTCTCTCTCTCTCTCTCTCTCCCTCCCTCCCTCCCTCCCTCTCTCTCTCTCTCTCTCCCTCCCTCCCTCCCCCTCCCTCCCTCCCTCCTCCTCTCTCTCTCTCTCTCTCTCTCTCTCTCTCTCTCTCTCTCTCTCTCCCTCCATGCGCCGGCGGCCCGACTACCCTCCTCACAGCTACCCGTCTTCCCTGTGCCCGGCGGCTACCCACCTGCCTCGCGGCTGTTTTCCCGGCCCACCTCTCTCGACACCGCCCGCCTCACTTCCCGCCGCAGTCACCTGCCAGGCACGGAGCCATGAAGACCTCTCCAAAGCCAGTGCTGCTGCTGCTGCTGCTGTGCTGTTGGCTGAAGTCGTGGCCGAGCACTGCGTACCCATTGCAGGAGGTTGACACGCCCTCGCCAGAGCCGGCCCAAGAGAGTGTGGGCCTGGGGGATGCCGTCCCGAACGAAAAACCATCAGTTTCTGAAGATGCTCATTTGGAGACGGATGACTCGATTGAAGACATCCAAAGCAGCCCTGGAGACGGTAAAAACGTCTTTGAGAAGATGAATGTTATTCGTGAGAAGCTGAGTACAATGCATAAAATACTGCATGACACTTTTGAAGAGAAAGGAGAATCGTATGAAGAGGAAAAAGAGGCCAGTGATGGAGACGAAGAAGAAGCCAGTGACGAAGAAGAAGAAGCTGCCCTCAAGAAGGATGACATCGACTCTGACATGAAGAACAATGATTCTTCTGAAGAACAGCAGCATTACAATCAGGAAGACCAGCAAAATGTGAACAGTGCATCCAACAGCCAGGACACTGAGACGCAAGACGCTGTCAGTATCACCAGTGATGACAACCCAACGGATGAAAACTCGGAACTTCAATCAAACAATCCCGCTCAAGATAGTGAAGGCTCTGGGTTCCCCATTCCAAAGAACTGGACTCCTTCTACCAGCGATGCTGATTCAGAACTCCCTACCAGTCCCGGACTTCTCGCACGCTTCAGTGACGACTTCCGGGATCTTCTCGATAATGTAAGGGACATCACTGTTGACCTGCAGGATCTTCACTCGCCAGACGAGGGCGTGGAGCCCTCCGCTACAGACTCAACCGACCTCAGACCAGCAGAAGCTCGCGCTGACGATAATGTGCCGCTCTCTGTAGCTCCTGACGAGCGAGCGCGCATCGCCGTCTTCCCGGCTCGTGCCAACATTGACCAGGCGCTTCTACTTCTCCGCGACCTGCAAAGGATGCTAGAGGAACGCCTGGACGTCTTCAACATCATGCTGGAACGATTCTACCTCGGCGAGGTGCGAACAAGCGATCAAGTGTCTCAGATCAGAAACAGTCTCGAAGGACGCCGGCGTCACCATCATTATTATGACCATCATCACAACTTCCAAGGTTTCCATCACCATCACGATGATGACCACAGCCATGATGGAAGCGGTCGCCCCGGTGGTGGCGGTGGTCGCCCCGGTGGTGGTGGTGGACGCCGCGGCGGTGGTGGAGGAGGACGGCGGCCCAGTTTGGACGCTCATCAAGTCAGCGATGGTCATGGAGCTCAACAGTTGACCATCATTAACTTGTTCGATGATGAAGGAAAGGATGACGGAGGGAAGAAAAAACCTTGTTCAAAAAGGGCTCCGTGCTAGACCAGCGAAGTTGCTAAACCAGCGAAAGTTGCAGAGATGGTGAAATCACTAACCGGTATTTATAATGATGTACAAATGACGTGTTGATTATTCTAAGTCGCGTTCCATATAATCATTTTTTGTTGTTGTTGTTGTTGATTAGTCGTTCTTCAAAAGACATTTGTTCACAGTTACCTCTCATTGGCCAGGAGTGCTTAAACAGAACTTTATTGACGCATGTAAAAGTGTTTCGCATTGAATGTGTAGCCGGACGTTTTTCTGATGTTGAGATGCGATTCTGAATAAATGAACATGGTTAATGGTTTGAAGTGTTTCCATTGGTATTTCTGCGCTCCCACATCACCTAATAAATATATCGGCAATTCGGCAATAATTATTATGTGCTCTGAAAGCATAAGATTCATCGCTGCTCACTATTAGGAAGTAGTATTCATCGGCCCGCGAGTCACTGAGGGAACGATCCACACCCCCACATTTTCCCCACACTATAGCTGAAAAAAAGCGGAGCGCCCAAATTTTAGTTACCTGCAGGTGATCGAATTTTATTGCGAAAATAAAAGTTTCCAAAAAATATGTTTGAATATTTTGAGATAGCGAGGTTTTGTTAATAATAGGATTTGAAAATTTCGACCAAAAATGGCATACGTTTAACCCACAAGCCGCTGGGTGTGGGGGGGGGGGGAAGAGGGGCATTAAGTTGCCCCTTCGACGTTTTGTGTGATATCTCCGAAACCTGATAAGATACGAACTTGAAACTTGGTGTAGCTTTAACACGCGCAGTGGAAGGGTTGCGAGTACTACGCACAGTGGAAGGGGGGGCGGATGTCGCCCCCCCTAAGATCTCAGCTCCCACTGGAGCTAGAAAGACGAAATTTGGAGGGTAGGTGAAGGCCATGAGGAACTCTATTGTGTGTGAATTTCATGACCCTAGGTCAGTATCTTCAAGGTCAAATGAGGTCAAATGTGGTCAAATCTGCCATATGAGCGACTTTTTTGCGTTTACACGCCGATAACTCAAAAAGTTACCGGCCGATTTACTTTTTTCTTTCACTATACGAAAGAACAAACATTTGTGAGTATGTATAATGAATTTCTAGATAATCCAACAATAAATATGGCAGTTAGAAGCCTGCTAAGGGTAAGATGTCGCCGGCTGAAGCGGGATCGGCCGACGCGGGAAACGCGGCAATCACAATTTTGTGTTTACACACTCATAACTCAAGTTGAAACCGGCCGATTTTCAAAATTCTTTGACCATATGATTGCCTGTACATTTCTCAGTCTTTTCACCGAATTTGACGTGAATCTAATATAATCAGCGGTAAGGAGCGCGATGTAAGGACGGAACCGTCCCGCCCCGGCACAGTCTACAATTCAGGCGGCGCGTAACGGCTACCGCCGCGCCGGCCGCCGCGCCGCCGCGGCGGCAGGATGTTTGACTTTACACCGCTATTACTAGAAAAGTTGTGAACCGATTTTATTTCTTACACGAGAAGATCTGCAATTCAATTCTGGACAGCTAGCCGAAATTTCACATTTATATTATGTTCGCGGCGCGAGTTATTGGCGAAAAACAGGAGGGGTGGGCGAAATCCGCCCCCCTTCCACTGCGCGTGTTAAATGAATACTTATCTTATATTAGTTAAAAGTTTAGGATTTTTAGCCTTCGATGTTGTTACAGTGACGTCATAAAATTTTGTCCTTTTCCTGTATGAAGCGTTTCTGATGTCACTGAGCATGAAACTCAACGGTAAATGAACTAAGCAGCACCCGCTGTCATCCTGACACATCGAAGTAGACTTTCAACTAGTTCCTGATCAGTTATCGGTCCTATATTCTCGGTCTCATATGTCGGATATATCGTGAGAAAAGTAAGAAACGGCAATCTACGATTGGGTTTCTGACGTCACTGTGACGTCATTTCAAATGAAATTGACACCAAATTTAGACACAAACTCGGCTAGTTATTCAGGACAATGTGTGCAGAGTTTCGCTTTAGTCTATCTGTTCGCATTCTGACGATATTGTTGGAGAAGTAAAGGGGGCAACTAGTTGCCCCCCCCCCCCCCACCTCCCCCGCGGCCGGCTGGTGGCGCGGCTGCCGGGTAAAAAAAAAACATAAAATCACAAAGCAAACGTACGGACATGCGGTAAACGCCATTAGCCTGCCGATACCATGCACAGTCAAATGGCTGTCTTTGATTTACTATTATCGTTCTACATTTTATAGAAAATCTTTAACTGAATCTTTGCAATTTCTCGTGACAGCTTCACGACCATGATGATTGATTAATGTATTTCTAAAATTGAACTTTTTGACCAAACAACACTCTTATGATAAAATGAATGTCACCATCGTGGTCTACGCCTAGAAGAACCCATATGACATGTGTCTTATGCTGTTAATGCCAACTTTTATTTTTGGGGATTTGTTCTTACCCGGTTGACCTGACCTTAGCCCTGACCTGTGCTCTAACTGACCCCTACATGGATCTGCCATTCGTGTGACATGTATATGAAAGATTGTGCACAGTCGTGACGGAGTTTATGACGAGAGACACCCAGTACGAGGTTCTAAAACGCATGCTACTGAAAGCCTTATTTCAGGTGTTCGACTTGACCTTGACCTGACCTGTGAACTCGAAATTCAACATTCAAGTACTCATCTGAAGCGTCTCGTCGCGTTCTTTCGTTTGCCGCCTTGTGCGTCTCGCTGTGCCTATTGGTTCTCGGGTTATCGGCTGGGGGCGTTTAACGCCCCCCCCCCCCCTCCTAGCAAGTGGTGGGTGGCGAAATACCTCAGCAACTGCCGGGTTAAACGTTTCTTTCTCTATGTCACCATGTTAGGAGTTTCACTGCTTAAAGATGTGTTTACGGAGCGAGCGAAGCGAGCGGAGTCTTTACCATATGGTGGAGTATCTCTTTAGTATTGGCACGAGCGTTCGGAAAATGTTGGTATATGCTTTCGGCCCGCTCAGACTGTGATGCTTTAGGTATCTGGGAAACGGTTTTGGACCGTGGTCATTTTTCGTATACCAGGGCCCTGTTCATGAAGTCTGCGGCCGCTGCGGCCGGCCGCAGGTTCTAAGCCCCGCCCATTTTTGAAACGTCATCACTCACTCGGCCGCAGCAGCGTTCCATGAACAGCGGCTGCTGCCGAAATAGTTTCCGACAATTATTTACAACTGAAGCACACCGCTAGATAATTTGTTTACAAAATCGTCTCCATGACAACACGGCTTGCGCCTATTTGACTTCGGTGCGCCAAGTTCAGTGCAATTAGTTTTCTTGCGGCTCGGCGGTCGCTGGATTGCGGCCGCAGAGATCGCAGCGGCCGCAGCAAGGTGACGTCATACATTCGTCATACTACATGAGCCCCGCCCCTTTTCGTGACGTAACAACCCGGCTGACCGCAGCGGCCGCAGCGGCCGCAGCGACCGCCAGGGTTCATGAACAGGGCCCTGGGCCCTGTTCATGAACCCCGGCGGTCGCTGCGGCTGCTGCGGTCGCTGCGGCCAGCCGGGTTGTTACGTCACAAAAAGGGGCGGGGCTCATGTAGTATGACGAATGTATGACGTCATCTTGCTGCGGCCGCTGCGATCTCTGCGGCCGCAATCCAGCGACCGCCGAGCCTCAAGAAAACTAATTGCACTGAACTTGGCGCACTGAAGTCAAATAGGCGCAAGCCGTGTTGTCATGGAGACGATTTTGTAAACAAATTATCTAACGGTGTCCTTCAGTTGTAAACAATTGTCGGAAACTATTTCGACAGCAGACGCTGTTCATGGAACGCTGCTGCGGCCGAGTGAGTGATGACGTTTCAAAAATGGGCGGAGCTTAGAGCCTGCGGCCGGCCGCAGCGGCCGCAGACTTCATGAACAGGGCCCAGCAGATTGTTTTGAGGTCATTGACCCGCCTTTCAACATTGCTTACAAAGCTCATTTCTAGCTATGCTTCTTTTATCTTTGCGTTGCCCAGAAGACGGGATAACTTTGATGGGCCATGTGGCGATATCTATCCGTAGGTACGAAACGCAAATAAACGCCAATAATCAAATTTTCATTCAGGTACACGTCATTTTGGACTAGTCGACAGGGCAGTGTTGACAGCTCCGGGGCCCTGTTCATGAACCCTGCGGCCGCTGCGGCCGGCCGCAGGCTCTAAGCTCCGCCCATTTTTGAAACGTCATCACCCACTCGACCGCAATCAGCGTTCCATGAACACGTCTGCTGCCGAAATAGTTTCCGATAATTGCGCGCTTGAGACGATTAATACTAATCAATAGTTTCCACGCGCTTCTTCTATCTGTGTATTCCATTCCTGTGATGAAAAGGGCGTTTCTCAAGGCCGTCTGGTGTTTCTGTATTTTTGTAAGTGGGTCACATAAATGATTTGGTATTCTTTTCATTAAATCGTAGCACAAATAACTAAAGTCTAAAATTAAATCTCATATTAAAGCATTAATCTAATTTTTAGGTATCATGGCATGCCACACCGGACGGAATGAATTTGTTTATAACATCGTCTCCATGGCAACACAGCCTACACTTTGACTTCATGCGCCAAGTTCAGTGCAATTACTTTCTTGTGGCTCGGCGGTCGCTGGATTGCGGCCGCAGAGATCGCAGCGGCCGCAGCAAGGTGACGTCATACATTCGTCATACTACATGAGCCCCGCCCCTTTTTGTGACGTAACAACCCGGCTGGCCGCAGCGACCGCAGCGGCCGCAGCGACCGCCGGGGTTCATGAACAGGGCCCAGGTGTTACCGTGCCGTGCTTCTTACTTCATTTTGATGTTCACGATTCCACGGTTACTGATGTTGAACACGATATAAGGGGAGCTGGAAACTGATATTTCGAAGTAAGGCTTCAACTTCTTCACACATTGTTCACTTTTTTCTTAACGTTTCCCTACTTTTTATTTTTAATAACAAAACTCAATACAATCTTAATTGTCATCACCAAAGTCAAATCCTAAGAAACTGGTGAGAAGCGTGGTTTTGAGAAGGCTCATTTTGCAACTACGTGCACCATATGGTAAAATAAATACCACACTCAAGGCCGTATAGAGAAGGTAAAACCGTCCCGGGGTTTTTGCCGCCCGAAAACTTTAACATTACGTGACGTCACTGGAGACTTCGGCGCTCCGACGGTCGGCAGCGCTGCATGGTTATGTATGAGGGTTAGGCATCCCGGCGAGGCGTCGTAAATGAAGGAGTTTCGAGTACCTATTACACATTCATTATGTTTAATGGGTTTACAGGAACGGCTACCCCTCTGCCAGCCCCACCTAACTGTAATGTAGCTCGCAGCCTCGGACCGGTAGCCTGCTCCTCCCCGAACGCCATTCCTTCAGCCCTGGCGTGTTACGCCCCCCCCCCCTCCCGTTTGGCCCCTGATTGAGCTAGAGCTTCGCGGAAAAAACGAGCGTGTTGCCCGTAAAGAGAGCAAGCCGATGATGCCCAATTTAAAGGTCCTAGGTCATCGGATGACCTTCCAGGTCAGGGCAATGACCCAAAAGTCGGGAAAATCGGGACCTGTTAGAACGTCGTAAAGGGTGGCTGCTATGGGGTTTTCGGGGCGCTGATCACGAATATCACGTTAGTTTAGATCACAGATGATGTCTTTATTGCATTTAGGCCAGGTCGGGTCAGGTCAAGTCAGGTCAACCAATACCTAGGGGTCCTGCCGAGCCGGGCACTAGAGGTGCTGTGGGATCTGAGTGCCAGCGGTCGGCCTATAGGCCGCACTATAGTGCGGCAGCTACTAATGGGTCGGGCCGAGGCTATACGTGGAAACACGTGCCACATATGCGGGGCTGAATCACACCACGTGGATGACGGATGTACCCTAGCAGTAGCACCCCCAGATTCGGTAACGCCTTCGGTAAAAGCGGCGGGGGCCGTGGTCAGTGACACTAACACCGCCGCTGGCGTGCGGTTTTGAGTTACGGCTGGTGAGCTGGAAAGACACGACGCTGAACTGCGGGCATGCACAGGCTGTGAGGGAGGTTGAGTTATGTTACACGGCGCGCAGCTTATAGGAGGCCCAAGGAGCAGTCGAGCTGGAGGGGGCGACAAGCAGCGTACGCTTCTGCTCGGCATAAGATGAGAACAGCCGTTCCAATCAGCAGCCAACCGTCCGATAAAGAGGATCTTACTTTGTCCTAAAACGTGGATATGAACAATTAGTTGGGTTCCGAGCCGTCACCGGCTCTGGCCACCGTAGCTGGCGTCAGCGACACCGGCACCAGAGCCAGTGACCGGTGACAGGCTGGTTCAGACCCAATGTATCGCCACCCTCCCCCTCCTGTAAGACGAGTCCGAGCGAGTCGGGTTCGTCGATCAAGACTGCATGAGCTCAGCGATCATGAATTTATGAAATGTCTCAGCTTGAGCCTTCTTTATAACCTTGATGTGCGATTTGTAGGCATTATTGGAACGTTCCGCACTGAAGTAAACACTTGAGATGGACCTTGCGCGCATTCCCAATGAATGTCACTAAAAAGAATATGCAAATGCATACAGAAGAACACATGCACGCACCAACACAAGCTTCGCACGCGCAACGCACGCACATATTCACACACGTACACGCACGCGCACGCACACGCGCGCGCCGCAACCGCAAACCGGGCTATGCGTCAACCAAGACAAACGAGGCGCATTGTCACATCTGCACATTCACCAGTCATGAAGAGTTTTTTGAGTGCTGCGCCACTTGCTTGGCAGCCCGCCGCTCCTCAGCCTCAGCTGCTTTCACCTGGTTGAGCCAGCGGATACGCAAGTGCATGCGCGTGGTCACCAACTTACGTGCTATCCGTGCATCAAGCTCTGGTCGCTTTTGCCGCAGCTCACCCAGCAGTCTGCGGACCAAGCCTGTTTGGTCGCTGACAGAGGGACCCATTACCAGGCTGAACAGTACCTCAAACTCCTCCACGACCGTCATCCAGCTGTCGGAAGGCACCAGCAGACTGCCATGGCTGACGGCCCGGATCCAGCTGGAGGGGACTGAGCTCGGAGGTGCCTCCCTGCTGGGCGTCCCCAGGCTGGCGTCGATGCCTCGGCACTTCGCCGCAACATAGCCTGCCACGAAGGACAGAGCCTCTCGCTGAGTCGAGAACGTCTCGAAGTCTGAGCTGATGATGTCTCCGTTTGGCTGCGGCGCCGTCATCTCCGTGTGTGAGAGGGTCACGACAGAAGCATGTGCTTGCTCAAACTGGTTCGCCTCCTCCGCAGCAGTCTGAGCGTCGTCCGAGTCCTCAAACTGAAAAAACGACGATATAGCAGCATCGGTTACATGTCGGTAACATTGACCAACTCATTTGCGATCCACCCGCAAGCTGCATCTTTTGTGTCTAATTTCAACTGTTGTAGTGTACACTGTGATCCAAAACAAATTTTGGCAACGATGGCGCAGGCTCAGTAAGTTTGACAGATGGCATGCAATTGAATGTCGACATGTGACTTTAAGACGCCGTTCATTAATGGGTATAAAATTAAAGGCATAATAGCAGAAGCTCATATTTTTGGCACATTCGTGCCTGGCCCTCTTCACCAATGCATAACTCACCTGGATGAGCAGGCCCTACAATGCCTGGTTGGACAGGCTGGGGGTCGGTGGGTTTGCAGCGCGGCCGGTGGAGAGGAAGGCGCCGTCTGGCTCCAGCTGCAGGACGGCGCGGCTACTCGACTTGCCGCTGACAGCGGCCGTCGGAGCCCGCGCCATCAGCATAACGCGAAGTCGTGACCGCGCCTCTACGGCGTTCGGCGTGGTGTTTGATCCTCCCAGACTCCGTAGCTGCGAAAAGCAGTTTTCCACCAGATCCTGGTTTATGTGTGACGTCATCACATACTTCAGCTCGGTTGTTGTAGTTAGGTCGGTATATAGGCCTCGGAGGGATGCCGTACTGCGCAAAATACCGCGCTGGAAGGGCAGCATCTTCTTCACGCCGTTGGGCTGCTTCGCAGTCACCTTTCGAAGACTTGTGACGAGCCGTTCCATTTTGGCCAGCGCCTGATCTTGTGCGGTCTTGATGTCCGGCGCTGCACCGTACGCACAGCGCTCCACCGTCTGATTGAATTTGGAGCGACTATTCATCACATCGAACCAGGCGTTGGTGGTTAGGACGGCCTCCGCCTGGGCTCCCCGTCTCGGCAGCAGTGCCTTGATGGCCGTCCCCACGGTGTGAGAGAACAGCTGGGTTGCCAGCCGGACACGCTGGCTCACCTGCCTCGCACCCTGCGTATAACAGCGACAATGCATGATCAGAATTGGGTCACATCCAGTATGCTGGCGAACCAGCACTCACCAATCAGTGCAATTATGTGTATTCTAGTTTTGACGGGCTTGTCCGTCTGACAGACCACATTGTGCACTATACATAAACAAGCGAACTCGAAACAGCCATTGTGACGGATTCATAAGAATTTCATTACATTCACACGTTTGAAGTGATAAGTGGAACATCGTACTGGAATCACATGACAGTTCATGTAACTAATAAGTTAACGATCAATTAATTATTAACACATCCACGCACGCACGCATGCGGCGTGAAGGCACTCATAACACACACAAGCACGCGCGCAACCCACACACACAAACACACACAATTCACATTTCACACAAACAAACAAGTAATGAACGACTAAATAAGTAAACAAAATCGGTATAATAAAAATACCTCGATGTGAAGTCTGGTCAGCTTATGGGCGATCCTCAGCTCTCCTCTATCGAGATCCAGGAGCTCTTGAAAGGTGCCGCGGCTGAGCAGTGCAGTGCCTCCACGTTCGTCGGGGACGAGTACACCACCGTTCTCTTGCACCGTGTGAGTTCGCAGAAGCTTGACCAAGTGCGGGGTGTCCGCAAACACCCACACACGTCTAAAAGGAGAGGAGTAGGACTGGGTTAGGATAAGGACCGGGCTAGGATTTCGGCTGAAGTTGGATTGAGAAAGGCGATACAAGAAAGGCGAAAGAAAGGTTTGATATCACATATTTAGATGGCATGGGATTAAAGAGTTAAACTGTTCGAATTATTTTCCATAATAAAGATCGTGTTAACGACACACTGGCAAGTGGCAGTTGGCAGTTGGGGCAACACTCTCAGCAGGCTTTTTTAAAGCGGAACAGTGTTAATCGATACCCATTGAAAATCAAAATATAGATAACTAATATGATGAGTGTCACAGACTGGGCCACCTGACGATTCTGCCCCCTACACCCCTAGCCGAATCATTTGTCAGGGGTGGGAGTCGAACCCACAACATCTGTGACACTCAATGCCCACCAGCAATCAGCATACTATCTGCCATTCACCCAATTTGTATTAAACTATTTGAAGGAAGATCATGATAAGCTGCAGTAAATTCAATAAAATTAAGTGGTCTATCAGCATGCAACTTATGGAACCACTTAAGTTTTGTTAAAATAATTGCAAAAACATTACCTGGCCATGTCAGCAGGATTTGTCAGCCACGTCTGGTTGGCGTTGACCCCAGCTCGTGACCAGAGGGACTCGTTCTCGGCTCCCATGTCGCATACCACGGCTACGACACGCAGGCCCATGGACTCCAGGAGAACGATGATGCCGTCCAGAGTTTCTTTCTTCATCGGTGCATCTAGGTCATAGTATAGTGGCTGCTTCCAAGGCCCACACAAGCCACGGACCATGAGCAGCTGAAGCTTGGACCCTGCTACAACTTGATCAGCAGCAGCATCATAGCAATAGCGGCTATCAAGCGACATTTCATCGAAGGAGATGACACATAGCCGCTCCAGGTCGTTCATTCCGCGCACAGCCCCCTCCAGAACGGTGACGGCTGCCTCCATCACACCGGGCGTGCCGCGGAATGACCGTGACCATCGGGCCAGCGTGGTGTCGGAGGGCAGCGGCAGATGCATGACATCCTTCACATAATCATATGCTCCACGGCTCCTGCAACGGAGACCGAGAGCTCTTGACACATCCTCGGCCGTCCAGTTCACTCGCCGACTGGCATCAGCACTGGCCACCTGCCGCTCTGTGAGAACGCCCAGCCTCATCAGCTTCTCGAGCTTTGAAGCCTTTCGCTCAGCTGCACGAAGTCTCTTCAGCAGAGCCTGCTTTTCCATTTTCCACTTCTGCCTTTGTTTGGTCAGCCGCACTTTGAGACGCCGATTCTCCTTGGAGAGTTTGTGCACCTCCTCCAACGGCGTCAGGATCTGGGTGTTGCCCGGCAGTGTGGAGGCAGCAGTCCATGGCTGTTCTCCGCCATCAGTCTCCTGAGCCGACAGCCCACTGTAAAATAAACAAATTAATGTCAATGTCTATATTTACCTAGATTGCCTTGCCCAGCCTACCTAGAACTTAGATACCTACCTAGTTATGACCTGTGACCAACTGCAACCATACCTGTCAGGAGCCTTATAAACATAAAAAACCTACCCTGTCATGGCTAAAAACTACTTTTCGAACTAGGATATGTGCTCTTGAAGCCTGCCACACCCAGTCAAACATCTCACAGCCTAGTGAACTGCACAACCCACGAACAAACTATAAATTGAAAGATAAGCAATGCAGGTTTAATCACCATGGCATAGATGCTGCACTCTCATCTGAGATGGATGACATGGCATTCTCCGCCAGCATCTTCATCCTTTTTTTGTCCATGCGCTTCTCTCGAGAACTGGATGGAGCCGACCTGTGAGGGCAGCATATGGAACAGGTGAAATACACACTACAAGTTGTGGCATTCTTATAACGGGCGTCTCAGTTGCTGCCACACATTTGGGAGAAGTACCTAGACGTGCCGATTCTTGAGATATTTACACAAATTTTGCTCATGATCATTTCTTATCAAATAGTCTCACAGAACAAAACATAATCTAACCTGGGAGGTGTTTCACTGGACACTGCTACCACGCTGCTATCACATTTCGCGAGCTGATGTCAGACTTGTAGTAGTGTAATTGTATAGAGAATTATATATATATATATATATATATATATATATATATATATATATATATTGAGTAGAAAATGCCATATCAATATAAAATACATTTTCAAGAAGGAAGCTGTATTAGGTATCCATTAGCAATGGCCAATGAGCATCGAGCATGGCCCCTGATACTTACCCTGTGGAGCCATGCAGTTTCTGGCTTGGAATCGCTCCAGCCTTCAGCCATGGCTTCACATTTGGCATACATGATGCCTTCACAAGGAATGATGGATCATAGTCAGATTCTTGAAAGTGTTCAGAGCATATTCTGGATGTCTTCACATTGAAGCTATCTGATCTTGAGCATCTATGCTTCCATGTTGCCAGCAGAGCAGGCTTTGAAAGTGGGAAGCGAAAAAATGAAATGCCTGGTTTTGCAGTAGTGTTTGAACAGCTGCCAACAGCACATCGGCCCATATTTCTTATCACCTTAAGTTCAATCAACAAGCTGAAAGAAAAAGAACAGTGAGCACTTTGACATGTCTGAAAACATGAAGCAAGCTGGCTGGCTTTTGAATGAGTTTTAAAGTAAATAGGGTAAAAAGAGGTAACTTCGTGAAATCCTCAACTGTATTTTTTTAAGTCAATTCTTCTTTTTCTGAGTTTATTTAAACTGACGTAACACACTCAACTTACAGAATTCAAATTGAGAATTAACAAGCGGTGTTTGGTTTAAGCTGGGTCTATGTCGTGTATGTCAGTGAATGACCTTTTTGTCTTGCTTTCCCTGAACCTTTGAAGTGCTGCCAAATGAAAATAATTGTCCCCCTGCTGAACTTCATGAACCCTAACTTCGTGATGAAAAAAGTAAGGCAATCATTTCCTGAACAGCCACCACAACCCAGGTTCTGACAATACCTTTTCCTAACAGATATATCCTTTCCATATCCAGATATTCACTTTGTGCTGCCACTCTGAGTTTATGCTTAACCATGGGCAAGGACGGCAATCATCAGTTATTGTCTGAAGACAACATGCGAGATGCGCTGAGTGCTGACGGCTGTTGAAAGAGGTTAAAATCAGCAAATCTCGCTCTTACGCCATCCCAAGACAAACGCTTGTTTATTATCATCGAAATATACATGAATAAGAAACTATTGACACTACATTTTACTTTCCCCAGAAGACATAAATAGCAGAAAATACAGCAAATAACGATAACGATCCAATCTCAATTTCAAATCAAACCAAAACAAATTCACTTAGGTGGCCTTGAAACGAATAAGCAGAAGCTTTTTTCAAACCATACTGTTAATTTGCAGCCTAATGGCCGTTGCAGCGTTTTAAGCACCGACCAATCAGAGCCGTTGGAGACCAGGTCTCCAGTGACGTAGTCGCGCCGGGTAATGCAATTGGCCCCTGGGCGGCTCCAAATGCCGGGACGGCACCCCCCTGTACCACACTTAGGCCGGAATGATTTCTTGAGGACCTCGGTCGTTGTTTGATTTTCCACCCTCGGCCTTCGGCCTCGGGCGGAATATCAACAACGACCTCTAACCTCAAGAAATCATTTACCGGCCCCGTGTGGTATTTTATATTCCTTAGATTAACGGAAATTTCTGAGTATGAGCGGCCGGCCGGCCGGCCGGCCGTGCGGACGCTTTTGGGAGGCTTATATCTCAGCAACCACTTGACCGATTTACACGAGCTAATTTTTGTAGGGTAGCTTCATTCCTTCTACCAAGTATTGGATTATTCCCGATGCATGTGGCTGACCCCTTATGCACG